GGTCAGTCTTTTGTTCTATTCAGCTCTTCAACTGATTGGATGAAGCCCACCCCCGTTATGGAGAGCAATCTGCTTTAATTAAGTCCACTGATTTAAATGTTAATCTCATCCAAAAACACTCTCACAGAAACATCCAGAACAATGTTTGACCAAATATCTGGGCACCATAGCGGTCAAACTGACACACAAAATTAACCATCACACATATAGGTATACATACACAAATGCGTCTTCTACCTTGAGACTTTCAGAAAACCAAAAATAAACACTTCCCGAATCAAAAATTAACTTATCTACAAAGGAATAAGACTCAAACTGGCATTACGTCTCATCACAGTGCTGAATATTAGGAAGACACTGGAGAAATATTTTCAAAATTCTAAAGGAGGAGCCAGCCCGGTGGCACAGCGGTTAAGTTCCCACGCACGTTCCGCTTCTCGGAGGCCTGGGGTTCGCTGGTTCGGATCCCGGGTGCGGACATGGCACCGCCTGGCAAAGGTCATGCTGTGGTAGGCGCCCCACATATAAAGCAGAGGAAGATGGGCACGGATGTTAGCTGAGGGCCAGGCTTCCTCAGCAAAAAGAGGAGGACTGGCAGTAGTTAGCTCAGGGCTAATCTTCCTCAAAAAAAAAAAAAAAATTCTAAGGGAAAGTGATTCTCAACCTAGAATTCTTTACATAACAAACTATTTCTTAGGTTGAAGAGTGAAATAAAGATCTGTGGGATATTACCATCAATAATTATTAGTAAAGAATGTATTCTAGCTAAATATGAGTCCTAGGGGAAAATATAGGACACTACAGATATAAGGATCAGAGAGCCAGTAAAACAGTTAAATTCAAATCACTGTTAGCAGTTTTAAAAAATCAAAAAGTATCATCTAAACTCTCAGGTGATCTCTACATGGGAGCTGGGGTTGGGAGACACTGGAAAAAGCAGAAGTGAAAGCATGTCAGAATTTTTACCTTTATTAAAAGAGGATATGATGCTGATCAATAGGAACGCCATGAGAAAATGTGTGTTTCAACGTTTAAGGATGAAAGAATGACAGTGAAAGGACAAAGACATATTAAGGAAATGATACAAAACAGAGCTAGATTATTAGCATTCCAAATTCAGCAGTATATTAAAAGAAAAACGCATCATCTTGCTTGAGTGAGATTTATAAAACGAGTGCTTTCGTGAGCCAACATCAGGAAGGCAATTTTTGTAATATACTGCAGTAAAAACTTAAACGAAAAGAAATCTTAATCTTAAAGCTTAAAGTTCAGTTGATGTAAAAAAAGAAAAGAAGTTTAGTAAGCATTATGTATTTTTGCAAATCTTTGCAAACTAGGAATAGAAAAAACTTCTAAATCTACAACAAAAAAAATTCCCCTTAGAAACAACAGGATGCCCTCTAATCTAACAAACTTTAATATTCTAAAGAAGAAAGCAAATGTCACTATCGCAGATTACCATGCAACCGTCTGCTTAGAAACCCCAACAGCTTCTACTGACAAACTTGTCAGCAGCAAGTCCGGAGGCGACTCTCCGCCTCCAGCGCCCCGCCCCCACTGCCCGGCCTGCGCTCGCGCAGTTACGCATGCGCGCTTTGAGCGCGTGCGCGTGGGGCGGAGAAAGAAAGATGGCAGCGCTTGGACTCCCCACGCCACTGCATGGGCACGTGGGCCGCGGCGCCTTCAGCGACGTGTACGAGCCCGCGGAGGACACGTTCCTGCTGCTGGACGCGCTCGAGGCGGCGGCGGCCGAGTTCACGGGGTGCGAGGAGGGTGAGGGTCCCTGCGGGAGGGGGCGAGGGGTCCTCGAGCGGTGGCAGCGGAGCGCCGAGGAAAGGACTGGCGCCGCCCTCCCGGAGAGGAGGCGGGGTCGGCCCACTTCGCGACATGCGACACCAGAACGCTGTGACTCACGGTTTTCCTGTAGTTACACGGAATGAGTGTGCCAGGCATCTGCCTACCCTTGCCAACATGATGGTTTCGTCTCAGGGGCTTCATGCCTCCTTCCCAAGCCAGGATGTATCTTTTTCCTTCCAACTGTTTACTCTGAGGAACACGTGCCCGAGAGTAGCGATGTTGTAACACATCCAAAAACAAAATATCGGAAACCATTGCTGCTTATTAACATTAAAGTTTTTAGTCAATATTGAGGCCGCGTGGCATTATTAATTTACTCAATACATAAAAGCGCTCAAGCAACAGAAGGGCACAAGGCAGAAAGGAGATGGTGAGACACGGCGGTGGGGAAGTATATTTGAACCCAGTGAATAGCTTACCCAGCTCTGCAGCGACAGCCGTTAGCCACATACGGCTACTGAGCACTTAAACTGTGGCTGGTGCGACAGAGGAACCGAATTTTTCATGTAATTGTAAAAAATTTAAATAGTTAAATACAACTAGTAATCTCTAGCACCTTATGTTAAAATTGACTTGTTGAAATGCTTGCTGTGAATTTCAAATTACATAAAAAATGAGCACCTCCGTGTAACTTTTTTAATAACAGGAATTTGGGTAATTAGATTTATTTGGAGATCAAGACTTGAAATGGGTTTTCTCAGGATGAAACAAACAGCTGTCAGCCTTCAAAGATGTATATCGTGTTTATTTATCCCTCTTAAACTTGGTCGGATTTTTCCATGTATAAGATGTCCCAACTCTTATTAGTGTTTCATTGTAAACGATGGAACTTTTGGATTTACTGGAAAATAGAGTGGAACAGAACTGTTTTATAACTTGTCTTTTATTCTCAAGATATCCCAGAAAGGTTTACAAGCACAGATTGCATTGCAAAGTATGCTGTAAAAGGAGCTGATTTTGTTATAAAGTCTTGGATATTTCTGGTCTTGGAATTCTAATCATTTATGAGACCATGATAGTTATTTTCAAATAGAAGCCACCTGGTAGGATTCAACCAAGCCTTCTACAGCATGATAAAGCTTGTCGGATGTGTAGACTAGTTCCAAAAGTGAGAAACCCTGAGAGTTTGTTGTGAGTAGTTGGGATATTAGGTGCTAGAGAGGCCGCTAAATCCTATCAAACCTATTTCTGTAATGGGGATAATTGGTCCTTTTGATGCATATATAAGATTATAGGCAAGGACATAAATTTAATTGAAGGACAAAATACAGTAGAATGAATTTATTATATTCAATAGCATTCTTAAGATTATTATAAGATCAGACATTTGGGTATTTTCCCAATTCAGCATATAGCTGTAAAAATTAAGGAATTTCTTTGCTGTAAATTTATTATCAGTAGATTGGGGGAACTGTTTTTCCCCTAGGGTGTGCTGATGGATTTATGAATTACTTTAAAATGATAGAGAAACATCACTCATAAATATTTTAATAATACTAACCATCATTGTAGGAAATGCTAAACTAGGAGCTCCTGTGGAAAGGGCTGATGTGTTTCATATTAATATTTTCAACCCTAAGTTAGCATTCCATAGTTTTTGTGTAGTGTTTTATAGAAATTCACTGAAAGCCATCTATTATGTTTTAATGTTTTACAGACTTAAATTATACACCAAAAATTTTAACAATTTTGAGTTATGCAATATTAAATGAGCATGACATGGTTGTTGGAAATTAGCTTATTTGTAAATTTCTATTTCCATATATTTACAGGTGAAGGATGATGCTGGAGAAATAGACATTAAAAGTAGCATGAGTTTTTTGTGATGTATATTTTAATCCTGCTGTACTAATGTTTATTTTATTTTGTTTTTTTAGAGTGGAAATATGCCTTGAAGTAGGATCAGGGTCTGGAGTGGTATCTGCATTCCTAGCCTCTATGATAGGTCCTCAAGCCTTGTACATGTAAGTGTAAGTATATGAAATTCATCCACATCTTCCACTAAGAGATTGGCTGTGGGTATGATTGCTTGAATGAAGGCATTTTTGTAAGTAAATAATATGTATCTGATAGTGTCTATTTAAGTATAGTAAGGACTCAGATTGCAAATTATGCTTCCTTAAAAGTTATAACTGTATGTTCAAAACTGTTCCATCATACTACATAATTATAAACTCAGCATAATAATTATAAGACATCTCTAAATTTGAACTTTTGTTCGGGTAAATAATTTGGTTATCAGAAAAAAGTTACTAAAATTTTTTTTAGAAAATTTGAGAATATAGAAAGTATAAAGAAGAAAATAAAAATCTCCTATAAATTTTACCACACACAGTCCAAGTGTGTTTCCCCTATTTTCATTTCCTATGTTTTTCATTTAGCATTGTATCATGAGCATTTTCCTTTCAAAACTTCCTTTTAAGTTTCATTTTGGTGGTTGCATAGTATTCCGTTGCTGGATTCATAACCTGGTAAATTACTTCAGATATGTGTGTAGGTGTATTCTACTCTTGAATATTACATTAATCTTTTCCATCAATATAACAAATATTTGTCCTATTTCTATTTGCCATTGTTAAAGCCTTCTAATTTTTTTTCTATATCTGCTTTATATAAAAGGAATGGAACATTCCCTGAATTTTAGTAACAGGCTGGTATCATAGACATGGGCTATAGTTTTCTTTCTTTTCTGTTTACAGGTGCACTGATATCAACCCTGAGGCAGCAGCCTGCACCCTGGAGACAGCCCGCTGTAACAGTGTCCACATTCAACCAGTAATTACAGATTTGGTGAGCTATTAATCCTTGTCCAATAATAATTCATTTCCTTTTCAAATAAGTTAAGATCAAGATGATTTAGGTCAAAGAAACTTAAGTGATTAATGAATTAGCTTTTAACCCACTAAACAGTATACCACATAATTTACAAATTCTTAACTGACATGATCCATCTTTTCACAATTCAAAGGGACTTTCCATCAGTTTTTGTAGATCAGGCATGTTTTGATCAGAAACGATAGTCCAGTTCAAACTGAAATAAAAAGAGTGGCTGGCTTCACGCACAGCTGGCTCCAGGAATTCAAATGATGTTACAGGCATCTTTTTCTTAGCTCTGAACTTCTCTCTGGTGGCTCTATGCCTAGGCAGTCTTTCCCTTCATGATATCAAGATGTTTGCATGTCTCTGTCTTATTTCTCAGCAACCTCCCACAGAAAGATACCCTTTCTATTCAGTTACTCTAGCAGAATCCCCAGAATGAGTATCGTTTGTATCCACTTGGGTCGTGTGCCTCTCTCTCAGTGTCATACGTGGTCAGAGGGGATTAGAATAGGGACGTGATTGGCTTAGGCCTGAGGCATAGTCCCACCCTGGCAGCTGGATTTCGATGCGCCCCACCCAGCCACTTGGATTGAGAATGAGCGGAGGTAGAGCTTCCCCAGTCAAAGTCAAGGAGATGTAATCAGAGGAGAGGGGGCAGGGCTCCTGCACAGGTGAAAGCAGATGACAACTGCAGAAGCATCGTTCTATTTTAACACATCATCCGTTTTTCAGGTGCAGTTCTTTAAATACTGTAGATTATATTAGTAAAACTTAGATAATTTTGGAATTTTTTTAATTACAAATGTGAAATGCCTTTTTATAAGGAAATATAATAGCATGTACCAGGTGGGCCTAAGAAATATAAAATGCTTTCTGTGCTTCTTGACCTGTATTATTCTCTTCCTGATAAGGCTAGTTAGCATTTCTCTTTTTTAAACCCACAAATGATTTTGAAGCTTAGAAGGAATTAAGCCAAAGATGTAAGAAATTCTTTACGTATTACTAGAAATTTTTCTGCTGTTAAAAACTAGATTAATTTAGGTACACTTCTATTTAAACTAAGAGTTAAAGGGCTCTGAATATTATGTGCCTCTTGCATGAATAAAGTGCGTTTTGCTGGACGGATTTAAAATGTCTTGTCAGAGGCCTTTTTTGCTTACTTCTCAATTCTTAGAAATCTTCTAGTGCTCTGGGACTATCCAGAAGCTGAATATGGATGGGTGAGGGATACCTGTAATTAGACTTTATAGCTAGCCCACAGTGACTTTCTTATGTAAATCCATTTTCTTTTTAACTTCATAATTTTCTATATTTTTAATATCAATTTTTCCCTTTATTTAAAATCCAGCACTACAATGATTACTAGTATATAGTACCTTAGGACCATCATAAATAGCTACAAAGCAAATTCTTTTCTAGTTTCCTTACTCAACATTTGTGGAAAATTACACTTTGGACTTTTTTAACAATTTAAGAAACTTAAATTCTTTATGGAATTGACAACAAAGCTTTTGGTTGTTTCGCATGTATTTCCTCACTTTCCAACATCATTACTAGAAGGTAACAGCAGAGTGACTAGTCATCTTTCTACTTGCAGACAAAGATACACCTGAATTACTTCCCCCAAAGGATTCTCTTTTCTCTTTTTAAATGAATAGTGAAGAAAACTTACCTCTGTAATGTCCCTTCAAAGCTACTATTCATGTGTTCTCCCTGAACTGCACAGGTAACTGGCTTATTAAGATGCTGTAGATGGGATTGCTTTTAGAAACCTGGATAAAATGGAATTCTCAGGCTTGTTTCACAATGTATGTAAGTAGCTCAGTGATGTGCCCACTACTTAGATAGTATGACTGAGTATTAAAATAACTTGGAATCCCATGATATAAAAGCTGTTCTCTCTTTAATTCTCCTTCAGCCATTCTGATTCCATCTAGGAGAAGGTCTTAGTTTGGTGCCGTTCTTTAACACCTTTTAAGCACTTACAAATGCCCGTTTAACAAAGAGAGAGCAGGCCTAGGTCACTGTTAGACTGGCAACAGTAACTATAACAATAACACACTTTCATTTTTATTGCATTTATTCTCGTGTTCATTTCTATTTCCAGGAAGTACTGATTTTCCATTAATGGAAACGTAATGTAAGTCTTCTTTTACAGCAAATTTATTTAACCAAAAAAGGTCCATTTAAAGAAAAATATCCAGGGGGCTGGCCCCTTGGTGTAGTGGTTACGTTTGGTGCACTCTGCTTCAGCAGCCTAGATTTGCTGGTTTGGATCCCAGGCACGGAGCTACACCACTTGTCAGCATGTTGTGACAGTGACCTACATACAAAATAGAGGAAGATTGGCCCAGATATTAGCTCAGGGACAATCTTCCTCAAGCAAAAAAAGAGGAAGATTGGCAACAGATGTTAGCTCAGGATGAATCTTCCTCATCAAAAAATTAAGATTAAAAATAAAGAAAAATATCCAGTAAATAATGGTAGTAACCTGTGCATATATGGGAAACATGGCGAGAATGATAATAAAATAACTAGCACTCTGGACACTACCTTGAGGTACTGCAGTTAGTCCATCTCAAGAAACAGGCTCAGAAGTCATGGCTAAGAGTCAGTACAAAGTGATAATTGAAGGAAATGGCTTTAGGGGTGAGAACGCAACAGATACCATATTTTTACTTTCCTGTGCCTGTGAAGATACAGGATGACATGATCAGACATGATTCTTTAAATACTTATTTAATTCAGTCAGAGGAATACTTTAGCCCTAAATGCACTTTCTTTAAAACGACACTTTCTTTGTTCCATAGAAAATTGTACCCAGTTTAAAGATTTATAAAACGCCAACTGATGTTTCCAGTATCTCTTCCCACCATTTTCAGTCCTTTCTTTCTTTGATATCTAATTGTTTCAGTCAGTAAATTTATGAGTAATTAAAGACATAGAAAGCAAAAAAAAAAGTCCACCTTCTGATGTTTTCTATCATTTCATAAAATATTTCTCTTGCTTATAGAAAATAAATCTTTAAGTTAGCAGCTATAACTTTAGAGTTGTGTACAAATCTACATAGAACACAGGGAAGCTTGCCTCTGACTTATTTTATCTTCTAAGAGTGAACCCAGAGTGTCACCGTATAAGCTGTCGAGGAGCGGAGGCTTTCTGCAACATTTTGTGTTCATTCTAATAAATAGTTTAATTTCCTTATTTTTAGGTAAATGTGTATAATTTTTGTGTGGATGAAAATGTAAAAATATTTATGTCTATTTCTATCTACAGTTTTGGCCTTCTAACACATTTTTTTCTGGAACATGGGAGAGTATTTTTAAAGACTTATTTGTCTATTTAATTGTGAGTCTGCCCTAAAATTCTGACTGTTGAACATTTAGGTCAAAGGCTTGCTACCAAGATTGAAGGGAAACGTTGATCTTTTGGTGTTTAATCCTCCCTATGTAGTGACTCCACCTGAAGAGGTAAATCTTACAACAGATCTTTAATTGCTAATATTTTCAGCTATTTTCTCTCTAAAATCAAATGGATGTAATCATGTGACATCAGTCAGCTGCCAATTAACACAGACTGCTCTGATTTTACTCCTAATTGTCAATAAGGGGTACTATCGGTAGACATAGGAAAAGAACCTAAAACTAATGGAAATACAAACTGTGACCCATATTCATCCTTAAAAATCCCATCCAGATCAGGCCATGGTGTTTAAATTCGTGTGTGTGTGTGTGTGTGTGTGTGTGTATCCTTTATCACGAATGACAAATTTGCAAAACAAAATATTGTTAATCAACCTTAAATTCACATGGGAATTCTTTCTGAAGGTCTCAGGTTTCCCCCTTTCACAGGTATTATTAGGGAAGTTTGGGGTGGGGAACCAATTCTCATTTCAGGTAGGGAAAAGAAATAATCTTGAAATATATGATTTTAAAAATCTCACTAGTGAAGGGATAAGTCATATTAACCATTTCCCAATTTAAAGAGAGAATTTTCAAGGCAGACAAAGTTTAATAATGGACTGAGGTTAGCTTTCCTTTGAATTATGTACCTACTTTATTCATTGATGATCTTTCTCTGGCAAGGATGATAAATATTGCACTTACCTCTGCCAGGATGGAAGAGGTCTATATAGCTGCTATTAATACTGATGGCAATTAAGCAACTAAGAAACTTGCTCTGCTGACATATGAACTCATATGAGAAGGAAAGTCATTGTCATAAGGTGAACAGCACTTGAGGGAAATGCAACTTAATAAAACTCTTTAGGAAAGGACTATGAGAATAAGTATCAAGGGTGATAGAAATGTTGCAGCCCAATAATCTCAGTCCTTGAGATCTAATTTAAGAAAATCACCAATAGAATAAAAGTTGAAATTCACAAAAATATGTTTATTACATCTTTATTTATGATGGCAAATAATATGAACCCATATATGTAACAGAAGAGAAACTCTTAAGTAAATCGTGGTCTATCAGGTCTACTACTGGAAAGTCTAGTGAATAAGGAGATTCTGGGAACGTGGGGACATGAATGGGCTTCCTTTCGCCCACATTCCACCTACTATGCGCTTGCTTCTCCTGAGCCATACAGCTGCTGGGGCATAGAGATGATTGAGCATAGGCAATGCCCTGGGCTCTGTTACAGTCCCAACAGAGAGAGCTAGTGTCATAATTTCCATGAGGTGAGCAATTAGCTGGAGACTGCAGCACAGCAAAGATTTCCTAGAGCTTATATATATATATATTTTTTTTTTTTGAGGAAGATTAGCCCTGAGCTAACATCTGCCAATCCTCCTCTTTTTGCTGAGGAAGACTGGCCCTGAGCTAACATCCGTGCCCATCTTCCTTAACTTTATATGTGGGATGCCTACCATAGCATGGCTTGCCAAGCGGTGCCATGTCCATACCTGGGATCCCAACCGGCAAACCCCGGGCTACCGAAGCAGAACATGCGAACTTAACCACTGCGCCACTGGGCCGGCCCGTATCCTAGAGCTTAAAAATATGTTTTACAAAGTAAAACATTAGGAAATGAATTAGAAGAGGATGTGGTCTTTTGTTAAGATCTGAATCAGTGGTCTGGAAACCAGGTGAAAGAAATATTTCAGTGCCCAGAGCATGAAGATAAAAAGAAGGAAATCATGAAGTTAACAGACAAGAGACTTAGAGGTGAGATCCAGGAGACAGAATATACAAATAATAGGAGTTTGTGCATATAAAAGACTGTGGCCGCAGTTACTAGAATATCCAGAAACATGGGGTCACATGCTGTTGGTTTGTGCCTGTGACATATCAAGGATCAGGAGCAGGCATAGCAAGGCCCAGGTCAGGAAGGCAGCAAACCACCAAACATGACTCCTCTCTGTGAAGACGGAGAGTCTCCTCTGTGCCTGTAAGAATGTGGCTGGTGCCAGGAGATCTTCCCTGAGGGTCATTTCTAGTGCAAGCAGATAAACCCAGCTGAGCATCCCTGGGGAGGCATCTAAACGGGGTCCAGCACAGAGGGGTCCTAGTCCATACTGGAACAGAATGTCGGGAGACAGACTTGGCAAAGGCTGTCATCACCATGCACTCTGTCCACAGACCACTTTACCTGGTAAAACATCCAGAGAATGGGCTCTACCAAAATAAGGGAGTAAACCAAGGAAAAGGAAGACATGAGTCCCAGAAAAAGAGGGCATTCTAGGAATGCCAGGAAAGGGAAGGCTCCAGGAGGAAAGGCCAACAAAGAAACAGAGGAACTGATAAATTCCCTAATGTGATTAACTCTGGAAAATTGTATTGTGAAGCTTAAGATAGATATGAGAGTAATTTAAATTAGATGCAAACAAGTAAGCAAATGGACACAGTGAATGCCTATCAATAACTGAATAAGATATGATAGGTGTCCACTGTAAAATATTGTGCAGCCATTAAAAGAGGAAATTACTACTATACCTGATCACTTGAAGAGATTTCCATAAAGTGTTGTTGAGTGAGAAAAGCAAGATACAGGTAAGAATGTAGAATAGAATCCTGTCTTTGTAAAACATGGACAAGAAGAAAAACTGTGCGTGTGTGTGTGTGTGTGTGTGTGTGTAGAAGATGGGGGAGGGGCAGACAAGCAAAACAGTAAAAGGGAGAAGTATAGTTTTTCTGAAGCAGGTGTATGAACATATTTCTCTTATTTGTAAAATTATATATATACATGGTTATAGGTATAAAGAGATTATTTTTCATAGTGAAACATATGCCATGTTGAATGAATAAGAGCAGAAGGCACCATTGTATGTAAATAATTTAAACTAAAATATGGACAAAAACCATTTTGAAGGAAATAGAAAATAATTGTATTAGGGTTAAAGTAGTTTTTGAGTGATTTTTTTCCAAAATATTCTTTAGTTTTAAAAACAATATATAATGGTAAGGATCTAAAGATTTTTAATGCTATATAAACTCTGGGGTTTTGTTTCTACGACATAATTAGATCATAGGAAAAAGTGCTTCAGTGCGCTTTATGTAACACACAGGTTCCTGAGAAAGGTCTCTGTGGTTCATACCATAATCTAGTAGACTGCCAGATGCGCTGGGGCCTTTGAAACCTTGCTTCTGCAAAGGAGATCTCGTATGCTACAAGTTCTCCCTTCTAGTTTAGGCATTGTATTAATAGTAACAGGTATTATTAAGCCCTTAATATGTGCAGGGCACTGTTCTCAAACTTTAAATATACTCCTTCATTTATTCCTAACAGTGGACAAAAGCAATTTTTTATCATTTTTCTAATTTTACAAATTAAACTATTGTTTTCTAATTTTACAGATAAGGGAGGAAACTAATTCACAAAGATGACAAACTTACAGAAGATCACACATGCTAGGGAATGGTGGGGCTCAGATTCAACCTTACTGCCCCTTCAGCAGCAGTAAAGGATAAGATATACACTTGTTTGCTGAATGTTACTTGTCAAAAAGATTCAGTTTGTGATTCTCAGTGTAATTTGACTTAAGTCAAAACAAAATCTTTCTAATTGGTCACAGGTAGGAAGTCACGGAATAGAGGCAGCCTGGGCTGGTGGCAGAAATGGTCGAGAAGTCATGGACAGGTTCTTTCCGCTGGTTCCAGATCTCCTTTCACCAAGAGGATTATTCTATTTAGTTACCATTAAAGAAAACAATCCAGGTAATTCAGACCAGTTGATCTTTCAACCATGTACATTGCTGAAACCAAAGTTAATGATATCAAAGGCTATAATTTATAAAGTAACCTGGAATATTAATGAATATAATCACTGCCAATGGCTAATACAGACATAACATTCATGTTGAAAGAGGAGAGAGATTTTTGAGAGGTAGATTTTTCTGGTTTCAAAAAGTACCGTCTTTTGAGGGGTGGCGGGAGGAGTTTTCTCCCTAATTCTTAAAGTAATGTTCAAATACAAAATCAGTAATGTCTTCATCTCTAACACCTCACCCTCAATATTGTGAATATTGTCTCCACCTTCTAGCCTTCATGCCCTTGACAGTTCTGCTATATATTCCTGAGTTCATCCGAAGTTTTATCGTGAAACTTCATGGTAGGTAGAAGTGCTATCTTCTACCTTGGATCCTCAGCCCCTCACCTCACGCCCTGATTACTAGGGGTTTTTTTGGTAACTCCATTTTCTTAGTTCAGTCTTTTTAGTGTTATTTGTTTACAAGAAGAAAATTTTGCTTTTGTTCAATACTGCTGAAAGAAATAAGCTACTCAATGTGCTACCACTTTGCAATGTCATTAGATGGTCTGCCCATATCCCCATTGACATTTTTCATCCAAAAGGAAGGATATAGAGCAGAAAATGGAGCCGAGTAACTAAAAAATAATCATTGAATGTAGTGACAAGTATGATTAATGTTTCCATTAAGTCTAGAGTAGGCTACCACAGCATTCAGTCCGATTAGAATTCTCAGCAACACCTTGAAAATCCAGAGTGCTCTCATCTATCTGAAGTCCAAGTTCACTTCAGTAGATATTCACATGGTACACATTGTTTGCTCAGATGAACAGAATTCTTAAACTGTTAGTGATCATACACACTTCACCAAATGACGTAATTGGATTTTCCCTTTGTTTTAATTTTCCTTTTAGAAGAAATTCTGAAAACAATGAAGACGAAAGGTCTACAAGGGACCACTGCACTTTCCAGGCAAGCAGGCCAAGAGCTCCTTTCTATCCTCAAGTTCACAAGGTCCTCACATACAGGGGGTGCTCCTTGAAGCTGAATGCTTTCCGCATATTTTGAAGCTCAAGTCATTTCTCGGTTAACAAGTAAAATGGTCAGAAATTTGTGGTAGAGAAAATGGTGAAGGGTAGGGCATTCCCTTTTACCCAGGAATCAGGCCTACAGAAATATTTGCACAAGTGCAAGTAAAAAAAAAAAATATATATATATATATATATATATATGAAGTATATAATTTGCATTTTATATATTATATATATTACATACACAAAATATATATATAAAAGTTATATCATACATGAGAGGATGTTCATTTCAGCATTACTTGTAACAGCAAAACAATGAAGTTGCCTAAATGTCCATCAGTAAGGAATTACAGTATATCACTGTTACTGAACAGGAGTGACATATGCAGCCATTAAACATGAGTCAGGTCTGTATACACTGACTAGAAGGGGTTCATGATGTACTACTGAGTGAAAAAAAACAAGTTTCAAAACAGTATTAATCTTTATGTATATTTTTGAAAAACCTACAGAGAATATGTTTGTATGTGTATATAAGAAATTCTCAGAAGATAAATAATAGGGAAATAGAGGAACTTTCACTCTTCTGTGGTGGCATTTGCACAATGATAATGTATTATTTTTATAATTAAAAAGTTTTTTATTTAAAAAAATTTTAAATTTACCTTACCCTCACTTGCTTGTTGTCTCCATTCCACTTCTGTTATTCAGAATGCCTTCTGCCTCTATTCTTCTCCCTGGTCAGATTTTTCCTACCTTTTATCCCCTGTCATATATTTCTGTTTTCTTCTTGCACATATGTTGCAAACTGCTTTCATTTTTTCTTAGATCAGGGAGAGTTGTATGTAAATAAACTCACCATTCTTAAGTTAGTCACATTTTTAAAAGCTCACGTGTCTTTCAAGAAATGGCAGATTAACTTTACTAAATTTGGGGACTTCTCTAACTTCCACACCATTTAAAATACATTTATCAAAATTAGTGAGCAGGACTGTGTAGGATCAAAGTGAGAGGAATCTAGAATTTATTTTTAATTTTGTTACATTCAGAATCACCAGATGAAACTTTTAAGATTACAGATTCCTAAACCCACCATAGACCCATGGAATCCTCTGCTGCCCAGACCTAAAACCTGTATGTTTAAAAGTGTACTTGCCCAAGCCAGCCCTGATGGCCCAGTGGTTAAAGTTTGGCGCACTCTGCTTTGGCAGCCTGGGTTCAATTCCCAGGTGCAGAACCACACCACTCTCCTGTCAGTAGCCATGCTGTGGCGGTGGCTCACATAGAAGAACCAGAAGAACTTAGGACTATACACAACTATGTACTGGGGCTTTTGGGGGGTTGCGGGGAGAAGAAGGAAGAAAGTTGGCAACAGATGTTAGCTTAGGGCAAATCTTCCCCTGCAAAAAATAAATAAATAAAGAGCTTGCAACACAGTATCTAGGTACATGCTGGCTGAATTACTTTAAAAAAAAAAAAAAAAATGTACTTCCCAGTATTTCTTAAGGCAGCCTGCCAAATTTTAGAACTGTTACTTTAAATAGCACTTTCATTTAATCCTTAGGACAGTCCACAAAAAGGATACAATCCTCCTCCTTTGAAGTTCAGAAAGGTTAAATAACTTGCTCAAAGAAGCACGGTAGTAAAGGGTTAAGCTGGTATGACAACTTCAGACAGATCTGACTCCAAAAGCTGTCTTTCCCTTTGCTTATGCTGCTCTTAGCAGCCAAAATTAGTATTTACTTGAATCTAATACTGTAAATAGATTTGCCCTTCCCAGAAATAGTGTCATCTGAAATCTTATAACAAATAACCTCTTGTATCCCAGAAGGGGAAAAAAAAAAGATAAATACCTTCTTGGAATTTTATTGTGGGCTTTTAGTCATAACTTTGGGAAATGGGCTCCTGAATAGTTTTTCAAATAATGTTTAAAATACTTTTAAAGTTAGCTTAGAGGACTTCTATCAACATAGGAGACTAAAAACATAGAAATGCTACATAAAAGACACCAGAAACTTCGCATACATACCTGTTAGGGACTAAATTGTGCCCTCCCCAGAGTCATGCGTTGAAGCCCAAGTCCCCAGTACCTCAGAATGTGACTGTATTTGGAAATAGGGCCTTTAAAGAGAGAAATAAGTTCAAATGAGGCCATTAGGGTTGGCCCTAGTCCCGTCTGCTGGTGTCCTTGTAAGAAAAGGAGAATAGGACACACAAGAGATGCCAGGGATGCGTGCACACAGAGGAAAGACCATGTGAGGACACTGAGAAGGTGGCCATCTACAAGCCATGGAGAGAGGCCTCAGGAGGAGCCAACCCTGCTGAGACCTGATCTTGGACTTCTAGACTCCAGAACTGTGAGAAAATACCTCTGCTCTTTGAGCCCCCAAGCCCGAGGTGTTTTGTCCTGGCAGCCATAGCAAACTAATAGCCAAAGGCAAGGAAATCCCTGCATTCTGCAAACGATGACAGCAATACTGGTGTGAAAGGTGGATGCTGATGTCATGGTGAGCAATGAGAACTGTGGCCCTGAGCCTGCATGAGGAGAGCGGCAGATCTAGCTCCCTTGGCATTAAAAAGAGCTGCTGATAGATAGATAGATACATAGATAGATAATGATAGATAGGTATAGTTAGATAGGTAGGAGATTGATAGATAACATAGATAGATAGGCCCTGTTTCCAAATACAGTCACATTCTGAGGTACTGGGGATTAGGGCTTTATATATATATAAAGAGGACCTGTAAAACCACATCATTTGGCCCAAGTGAAGTAGCAAAAAAATTAACTTTGTCTGGACCTTGAATGGAAAGAAAAATAGTAATGATCTATGAGAAATCAGACCCCAGGTCTGTGTTACACTCTGCTGTAGGATTTAATTTATACTGTTTGTGTGCAGCAGCAACATTAACATGAAAAAATTAACATTAAAATTATCTAGACCATCCATCACCAAGAAGTTAAGTACAATCAATGAGAGCAGAAAAAAACAAGAATTGGACACCTAAGGAATATAAATAGTGGAACTGTTATAGTGAGATTATAAAATGTTTGAAATATTTAAAGAATTAATGTAATCACAAAGAAAAGTGCTCAAGAAGATACTATTTGTAAAGAACAAATCCAAGGCAGCTTTTAAAAATGAGAAATAGAATTCCCAAAATCAAAAACCACGATGGGCAGGGTAAACTGATAGCTAAAAAGGCAATTAGTGAACTGAAAGAAGTTCACAGAATGCAGTCCAGAGACACAAAAAGAGAAAGTATTAAGGAAAAATAATGACTATGGAGGATATAATGAGAAAGTCTAGCAAAACCAGAGTCCCAAAAAACTTAATAGAGGCAGTATTTGGAAAAATAACGGCTAATATTTTTCCAGAATTGACATTAAAAAAAAAAGAAATCCATGGGGCCGGCCCCGTGACCGAGTGGTTAAGTTCCTGCACTCTGCTTCAGCAGCCAAGGGTTTCGCCAGTTCAGATCCTGGGCGCCGACATGGCACAGCTCATCAGGCCATGCTGAGGCAGTGTCCCACATGCCACAACTAGAAGGACCCACAACTGAAAAAATATGCAACTATGTAGTGGGGGGATTGGGGGAGAAAAAGCAAAAAAGAAGATTGGCAACAGTTGTTAGCTCAGGTGCCAATCTTTAAAAAAAAAAATCCTGGAAGCACAAACAGGGTAAAGGTGACATTGCAAAACACCAAAGGCAAAGAGATCTTAAAAGGCAGTCAAAAGGAAGTTACAAATCACTATTGAGCAGGGGTCAGCAAACTGTTCTTGTAAATAAAATATTAGAACACAGCCGTGCCCCTTCATTGGTGTATTGCCTGTGGCTGCTTTGGCCTACAGTGGCAGAGCTGAGCAGTTGCAGCAGAAACCACGGAAACCATAGCCCACAAACCGCAAAACAGTTATTATCTGTCCCTTTAATATGTTTGCCAACCCCTGCCATAAAGGAACTATAATTAAAATAACAACAGACTTCTCAAACAGCAACAATGGAAGCCAGAAGCCAGTGGAAAAACATCTTCAAAGTGTTGAGAATGATTCACCTATTGTGTTCCCAGCAAACCTTCACAAATGAGGGTTTACAAAGTAACGTTTACAGATAAAAATGAGGGAGTTTACCAACAAGAGGTCTACAATAAAGGAAGCTTCAACACATATATTTCAGGAAAAAGGAAAAAGCCCAGAGATCTCAAATGAAAGAATTACTGATGGCAAATAAAATGGGAACTATGTATGTAAATGCAAAAAACATTACATTAAATATTACTAATAATTAGAGTGTGATTTATGTGGTTTGAAAATAAGTAAAATACTGTACAGTTGCATATAAATTAGGTAGGACATTTTGACTAGGGTGAAAGTGCTCTCAATTCTTTGTATTCTTCAGGAGGTAAGGATTTTACTTAATTTTAAGTTAAATATTTAAGTATTGTAGGCTGAATAGCAACCCACAAAGACATCCACGTCCTAGTCCCTGGAACCCTGTTCACATAACTTTATATGGCAGAAGACTCTTCACAGATGTGATTAAGTTTAGGATTTTGAGATGGGGAGAGCATCCTGGAGCAAGTGTCGTATAAGAGAGAGGCCGAGGGAGAGTTTAATAAAAAGAGGAGGCGGTATTATGACGCTGCTGGTTTCGAAGATGGAGAAAGGGATCATGAGCCAAGGAGTGCAAGGAATGAGCTCTGGAAGCTAGAAAATGCAAGGAAACAGTTCTCCCCGGAGCTTCCCAAGGGAGTGTGGCCCTGCTGACACCTTGGTTTTGGCCCAGAGAAGCCATTTCAGGCTTCTGGCCCCCAGAACTGTAAATCAATTTCTGTTGTTCAGAGCCACTGAGGTTGTGGTAATTTGTTACAGCAGCCATAGGAAACGAATACAGCATGGTCAAAGTTCAAGGGTAACCAGCTAAATAGTAGGAACAGGAGAGGAAAACAGCAAATTAGAAAATGAAAAGCCTCACTTAAAGAAAAAAAAGGCAGAAAAAGACCATCCAAAGGTGAAGTGCTGTAATTTAGACAATCTCAGTTCTCCAAGTGGTTACATTAAACTCACTAAATAGACACGTTATGATTGAATTCACTTAAATTTTCAATTATAGATTATAAGAGACTCATCTAAGTACATTTTAAGATGGGAAATAGAAAGATGGAAAAACTTAACAAACTGAGATAGCTACATTAACAGCTGACTGGACTGGATTGAACACTGTCCTCCCACAAATTCATGTCCAGCTGGAACCCGGGAATGTGCCCTTATTTGGAAATAGGGTCTTTGTGAATGTAATCAAGTTAATACGACCTCATGCTGGATTAGGGTGGGCCCTAAGTCCACTGCGACTAGTGTTCCTGTAAGAAGAGGGAATTTGGATATAGAAACAGATGCAGGGGGAAAATGCCACGCAAAGGTGAGGGAGATTAGAGTAATGAGTCTACCAGCTGAGGAAGGCCAAGGATTGCTGGCAACTGCCAGCAGCCAGAAGAGGCCAGAGAGGACTCTTCCCCAGAGCCTCAGAGGGAGCAGGCCGCTGACAGCCTGATTCCAGACATGCAGCCTCCGGGACTCGGGGATAAGAGACGTCTGTTGTTTTCAGCCACCTCGTTCGCGGTGCTTTGTTACAGCACTGCCAGGAAGCTAAGACACCGACAAGTCTAAAAGCATAAGCAGGGCTAGAAAGGAACACTAAGGAATGATACAGAGGTACACTTCACCAGGCAGCTAGTCAAAGTTCTAAACTTGAACGCAACTAGTAAAATGGCCTCTTACTATAGGAAATAAAAATAGAAATCCAAGTATAAATTGACAAATCTATCATACAGGAGGATTCCAAATCACTGCTCAATTACTACTGCATCAAG